GAGATCATGCTACCCATGCTTTTATTAGCACGTCAATTTCTGTACATGTACATGATGTATTCCTTCATTTGTGGGAAGAAAAATTTGTAATGATACTCACAGCAAAATCTTTAAAATTTGACCTCATTATTATTAGATACATGTACATTGTATATGCTCCTGCTTGTAATTTTGAGTACTTTTATTCTAATTTCAGATTATGTGGTTGATGCCACTCGTAAAGGCAATAAGATCCGGTTCGCCAATCACTCAGTCGATCCAAACTGTTATGCTAAAGTGATGATAGTTGGAGGTGATCATCGAATTGGAATATTTGCTAAACACAACATTGAGCTTGAGGAGGAGCTGTTTTTTGATTACAGGTAACAAAAACCTAGCATAAGAATAATTGGGGTGGTTCTGAGCAACTGAGCTTCCCACACACTGCACAAAGCATGCTAAGTGAGCTAAAAAGCATGAAACAAAGTAGTGAAAGTACATTATGGCATTTGGAGCAACTTCAAAAATTTATAAAAAATCCAATTTTAATTGGAATCATCTCAAACTTTCTACACAACATAAGAACATATTTACGCTCCTTTACGGGGTGGGTGTGGCCACGGCAAACAAAATGGCGGCTTACACATGGGACAAAGTTAAGAGCTTTCTAACAGCAAGAGAGCATAGAGATACTGTCTAAAGACTTCTCTAGAAGCATTATAAGGTAGAGAGAACCTTTATAAGTATTAATAATGACAAAATTATACTTGCAAGGTGGTGAAATCAATTATAGGAATATTTTTACACCGCTGTTACGCTTGTTTTTATACTGATTTTATACTTGCTTGTATACTTATTTTATACTTCATACTTGCTTCCTGACATCAAGAAGAATAAGGCAGTAAAGTACTTTTCATTTCTGGCTTTTTTCGACAGTACTGAGGTTGGAGCAATCATGGAGGGTGAATTCATCTCGGATCCAAGCACATTAGTTCCATTTCCATTTTAGTTCCATTTTTGATAATAGGCCTGCTGTGTGTGGGCAGATTCTAATGTAACCATGGTAACAGTGATCTGATTAAGTCAACCAAATTCCGCCAGACAAGCACGAGTTGATGTTAGGCATGAAACCAGACTCTATTCTAAAAATTGAGTCTGGCCCTGCAAGACTAAGGCCACGTTTACACTACTCCGTTTTCATTGGAAAACGGAGACTTTTAGTCACGCATACAGGTTTTGTTTACACCGCTAAACACCGCATGAAAATGCATACTTATCCGGAGACATTTGAAAACAAATACCTAGTGGATACTTCTATAAACGAATGATAAGTTCCAATGAAAACACAGCTGCTGGACTAGTGTAAACACCTGAAAACAGTAATAGCAAAAACTATTCGGATTCAGTGGAGCGGAGTAGTGTAAACATGGCCTAAAGTACGTCAAAGGAAATAATTATAATTAGGTAATTAATAGTATTCATTGGTGGGCGTGACTAATACACTGACCTAATTCAGTTAACATAACAATGTTAGGATTAGTGACAAATGTCCCTGTCGTAACAACTCCTCCAACAGTTATTATCCAGACACAATGAGGACTCATAATAAACACTGAGAGAGAATGAGACCTTCTCTTACTAACAGAGTGAGGTACATCTAACTGTTAATAGAAATAAATTAATAATTTACATGTATCTCACTGTACAGATCAATTATTAATAATATCTAACATACCTTTATCCAGGAATGTTGAGTGATGTTAAAGATCCAACAATCATCCAATGCATTGGTACTGTTATTGCAGCCACCACTTATCACTAGCATAGGACTGCCTGATCCAGTTATAATAATAGCACCTGCATGACGGTTTCTACCCACAGGCCATTGGTCTATTGCTTCAAGTTTCTTTATACACTGCCAGAACTAAAAATAAAATAACCACACCCATTAACAATAACATTGCTGGTGTGTTTTTGATAGATACATGTACAACATATATTGTATATCATTAAATAAAAGCCGGGTGCAAATAAACACCAGGGTAGCAATAGAATTGAACTATAAATACTCAAATCTAGCCTTCAAGTAACTCAGTCAAGTAAGCCGTGTGTGTGCATACATTCAGTACACATAATTTAACATACCACAGTGCTGATTGATATCTCTAATATATAAATATTGTTAGCAGCAGTATCCTCATTATCATCATCAGTCTCTCCTCCACCAAACAGAACAGCTCTAGTGTTGTTGATCTTTTCAGTAATGAAGTAAGAAGCAGGTGTTATACACTGACCAATGATTGAAGGATTACTCCATTTTCCTAAATTATGATTATTATTATTAACATAATTTCAAACAGTAATATAAAATCTTACTTGATGATAGATTATACATTGAGTACTCATTAGTACGCCAGTTTCCATTAGGAAACTCAATATATTTATAATGAGGTAGTTGTACAGCTGGTTTAGATCCTAGTCCTCCTATCATTAGTAAATGGTGTACTCCATCATGTTCAAATGATATCATTCCACCAGCACCTCTCCTCATAACTGGTCTAGTTGCATCAGTTGGTTCTAATTCTCTCCATTGAAGACTAACGGTATCCAGTTGTGTAATACTGTTGTGATGGCAGTCATCATGGCCACACCATCCCCCAAAATAATACAATTGATTATTTATTGCAGTACAGGAGTACCATCTCACTCCTAATGGAGGAGTACCAGTAGTAGCTCTAGTGATCCATTGACCAGTTGAAGGAGTAAAGTGCTGTATATTACTAGTGATCCTTCTCTTCTCTTCACTATCATGTACTTCAGGTAAACCATCCTGATTACCAGCCCACACATACAGTGAATCACCTACTGATACAGTGCGGTGAGCAGCTATTCCCTTCAGTTGATCTATATATCAATGATTGATAGTACATGATACTGGAATAGTAACATAGGACTTACTTTCAGATGCCATAGCCACTGCTAGGCACAGCAGCCTAGCACCCTCACCGGATCACGTGATACAGAAAAATTGGGTGGAGCTCATTATTTTTTGCAAGCAAGATGTATTTAGTACAGTAAAACAAGACAAATATTTATAATTTTGTGAAGGAATCTCTCCCTGTCCTTCAATGTCCCTCCCTCTCTCTCTCATCATTACAAAAAATGAAGAGAGAGAAATGAATGAAATTAAAACTTTGTAAACAACTAATACAAAACAATAAGTATATGTTATAACATAAATGCTCCATACACATAAATATTAATTCTATTTTTTGTTTCATTGTCACATAGTCATAATAAAGCAAGTAATATGCATCAAAGGTGAGCTCAGTATGCATTAAAATAATGTCATTTCTTCCAGACAGTATTAACAGCCACCATAGTCGCAGTTAGTGTGAGATCTTTGTCAAATAATAACAGATCAGCTCTGTTGTCCATAGCAATGGAACCAAGTCCTTTTAAACCAGCCACTCTGAGAAGAGAGAGAGAGAGAGGAGAACCAGAGTGATTGATAGATACATGTACACTAGTATTTCTATTATTATTAATCAAAATAAGTAGGTACTGGGATGCATGTCATTACTAATGCCAATGTAACAAACTGGTGCTTCATAAAAGAGAACATAGACATGCATCAGTTTTTCATGAATGATTTTAACTAATGAAAAGTAAGATGTACATACTTGTACATGTACAAAATAGTAGTACAACAGGGTTCTGCCTAGAAATAAATTAGAGGCGGTTTGAGACAAGTATTGTTCTTTTAAATTTATGTCCACCATACTAGTAGACTACAATGTCATGCTTTATGTAAAAGTTAATACATGGGGCGGCGTGTGCTATGGCCATAACTTTAAAAATTTTAGTCGGAATCAGTTCAAACTTTCTACACAGCATAAGTACATCAATATGTATCAGAAAATGTAATAAAAATTGGGTATGATTCTGGAGCAATTTTCGTATAAAACCATGGATGAAATAAAAAGGTTATTTGCTTGATACAATGTATATGTAATATAATTACACTTACTTTGCTGGGTTTTCTGCTAGCATTCTTACAGCTTGAGGAATTGGTACATTTAATGTATTCAATAAATTATGAAATATATCCAACATGGATACACAACTACCAGCCAGTGTATTAGTCCCTTTAAGTAACATTCTCTTACAATCACTGGACACTATCACTGAATGGAGAAATAAATTTAAAATAATAAAAATAATTTGAGGGCTTACATGTAGGTTTTAATTTGGCAAGTACCATATAGCAGGAAAATTGGAGGGACTAAAATCTGGCAAATTGCTAAATTTTGATGATAGGCAATTTTACTTTGGCGAATTTGTTGCCACGTGCCACTGAGCATGCGTATGATTGCTAAAAATGACAGGTTTTTATTTTGGCAAATGGCTATCAAAACGCCAAATTTGCCAAATTTGATTCACTTCAAAATTTCCCGCTATATAGTACATGTATTTATAGCAAGAGTCCATTTTGCCAAGCACTATTTTAAGCCTCAATGGCACACAGGCATAAATTTAAAAACTGGCTTTAATTGCAAAATCATTATTTTCCAAAAAATACCTATCATGTGATAGCTCCCTCTCTCTCTCCCTCTCTCCCTCCCTCCTTCTCTCTCTCTCCCTCTCCCTCTCTCCCTCTCCCTCTCTCTCTCTCTCTCTCTCTCTCTCTCTCTCTCTCTCTCTCTCTCTCTTTACATTATCTTCCATTGTAGCTGATGGTCTCTCCAGGTTGATTTGAATGATAAATTGAGTCAGTAATAAAACAAACACTCTCATATCTTCTTGCCTCCAGTAATACTGACATGTCAAAAGATGCCTAAAAATGCATAAGAAAATATAACTATATACTTTATTAAAAAATAAATACACTGCATACCGTACAGGTGATTTATAGGCAAGGAATTAATATTGGTGATTGGCGGTTCTATGAAGAAATCGCTAATATAAAATCTAGCTGCCATTTTGTTTCAATCTGAGCATGCTCAATGGCACGTGGCACAAAATCGCCAATATAAAATTCCCCATTAACTTTCCACAGGCAAATTCGCCAAATACATGTATTACTCTCGCCAATAAATTATCTTGTATGATATTGGCCATAAATTATATACATCAAAGTCACTTGTTAATTCTTCCACGTGTGCCAAGTCTCCTATTACTTCAACAGTTGGCGGTATTAATTTAATGATTATGTCAGTATATTCTGGAAAATTAGGATATACTGATGCTAAACCAATGTTAACTAATCCTGGGAGTCTACAGAAAAGAAAAGAGTGAGAGAAAGAGAGAGGGGGGAGAGAGAGAAGAAATGCAAAAGTAACATATTCATAATAGAAGGACAAAAGATGAAAAGGAAGGAGATATGCACCAAAGGAAAATTACAAGATAGAATTATGTGTGGCTTGTCTTACCTATGATGAAAGCTGCACACATTAAATAAATGTGTAATATGCATTGGTTCCTTTGATAGTCTCAAAGCATCTAATATCTCAATCTCACTTGCTTCTTTATCATGCCCCAATGAAGGCTTTATACCTCTATAATAAATATTAAAAATAAATAAATAATTGAATAAAATAAATAAATTAATACCATCGGGTGGCCTTTTTTTTCAAGGGCTGTAATTTTCATGGATTTTTTTAAAGATTTGTGAAAACTACTACT